TGCTTTTGATCTGTTACCTCTTATTATTATTATTTATATCTCTGTTTGTACGCATGATAGCGTTTGCGTTTATATTTTCTAAAATCAAAACTTTTTCAATAAAAATGTATGGAAAGTGAAAGTAAAATAAAATCTCAAATTTTTGGTTGTCCCAAAATAAGTAATAGAGGGGAAATCTGCCACTGGGGACACTAGTTCTGATAACCTGGGAGTCCCCAAGAAATCCCCTTAATTTACAGGGGATTTCATCTCATTTCCAGTTTGGCTATGGGAGAGGAAGTGAAGGGAAATCTCTGCAATGAGAGACAGATGGCAAAAAAAAAATCTGACAGGTGTAATAACTCTCCCTTACTTTACCCAAAATGAGAAAAAAAAAGTTTTGCCTATAGTTCTACTTTAATACAGAGAATGCATTAAGGTAAAACATCTTCTGCTTTTACAACTACTTTAAAAACACTGATTTTCCATTAAATTACATTTCTAGACAAATAATCAGTGAGCTACTGATGCTATTCAACACACTTCCAATTTTGCAAAAGTCAGAAAGTTCTCTCAAACTATCTTAAAGTGCAGGGCCGGACTGACCATTTGGAAACTCGGGCACTGCCCGAGGGCCCGGGGTCAGTAGGGGGCCCCATGAGATGCCCCTGGTACCTTTTTCATAGGCTTTTTTGAGTTTGGGCAAGGACACAGGGGCCCCATGATCCCCTATTGCCCGGGGGCCCCATGAGTTGTCAGTCCGCCCCTGTTAAAGTGTATATATAGGTAAAACCTTTTGGGAAGGATTTCAGGCTGTATATTTTTTTTTATTGCTGTATGTGTTCTCCTGGAGAGATTCACCCTCTGTTAGTCCTGATGACTTTTGTCCCTGGAACTGAAAGATAAAAGAATCATTTAAGTTGTTACTAAAACAGAAATAGAGAGGAACTTCCAATGAGGACATCTCCAGTGACAACTGGGACACAGCAGAAAAAGAGAGAAAACAAAAAAGCCAAAAAACAGCAGCACACAGCAAAAAAATAAACTGACAAGGGTGTCCACCCCTTACTACTAAAATGAAAAAATTGGCTATACATACACTTTTTTACATGAGACTTCCCATATGTACACTGTGTGCACAATTATTAGGATAGTGAAAGTGAAATTAAAATAAAATCTCAAACTTTTGGTTGTCCCCAAAAAAGTAATAGAGGGGAAATCTGCCACTGGGGACACTAGTTCTGATGACCTGGGAGTCCCCAAAAAATCCCCTTAATTTACAGGGGATTTCATCTCACTTCCGGTTTGGCTATGGGAGAGGAAGTGAAGGGAAATCTCTGCAATGAGAGACAGATGGCAAAAAAAAAAATCTGACAGGTGTAATAACTCTCCCTTACTTTACCCAAAATGAAAAAAAAAATTTTTTGCCTATAGTTCTACTTTAATACAGAGAATGCATTAAGGTAAAACATCTTCTGCTTTTACAACTACTTTAAAACACTGCTTTTCCAATTAAATGACATTTCTAGATAAATAATCAGTGAGCTACTGATGCTATTCAACACACTTCCAATTTTGCAAAAGTCAGAAAGTTCTCTCAAACTATCTTAAAGTGTATATATAGTAAAACCTTTTGGGAAGAATTTCAGCCTGTATCATTTTTTTATTGCTGTATGTGTTCTCCTGGAGAGATTCGCCCTCTCTGTTAGTCCTGATGACTATTGTCCCTGGAACTGAAAGATAAAAGAAATATTTAAGTTGTTACTGGAACAGAAATGGAGAGGAACTTCAATGAGACATCTTCAGTGACAACTGGGACACAGCAGAAAAAAAAAGAAAACAAAAACAAAAAAGCCAAAAACAGCAGCACACAGCAAAAAAAAAAAAAAAAACTGACAAGGGTTTTAACCCCTTACTACTAAAATGAAAAATTGGCTATACATACACTTTTTTTTACATGAGACTTCCTGTATGTACACTGTGTGTAGAATTATTAGGCAAGTGAGTTTTTTTGACCAAATCATAATTTGTATGCATATTGTCCAACTCTAAGCTATATAAACTTGAATGTTTATTGGATTTAAGCATATCAGGTAATGTGTATTTGTGTAATGAGGGAGGGTGTGGCCTATGGAGATCAATACCCTATATTATTATTATTATACAGTATTTATATAGCGCCAAAGGGTTTGCTCAGCGCTGTACAGTAGCAAGGGGGACATAACATGAGACAAGACAGTAACAATACATGAGGGGTTCGAGGGCCCTGCTCTTCCAAGCTTACAATCTAGGAGGGAGGGGAAGGTGGCACAGGAGGAGATGGCTGTGGGGGATGGAGTGGTGGGAGGAGTGGAGGAGGTTAGTTGTTAGGTGAGGTCGGGTGTTAGGTGAGGTTTGGGTAGGCTTCTCTGAAGAGGAGGGTTTTCAGGGTGTGCCTAAAGGTGAGGAGGGTAGGTGACAGTCTGATGGATTTGGGTAGGGAGTTCCAGAGGATGGGGGAAGTCCTAGAAAAGTCCTGCAATCGGGCGTGGGAGGAGGAGACCAGGGAGCTAGAGAGTAGGGGTCCTGTGAGGAGCGGAGGGCACGGGTAGGGTAGTATTTGGGTATCAGGTCAGTTATGTAGTTTGGGGCGGCATTGTGAATGGTTTTGTAGGTCAGAGTTAGCGGTTTGAATTTGATGCGTTGGGCAATCGGGAGCCAATGAAGGGATTGGCAGAGGGGGGAGACAGATGTGGAGCGGTTGGTGAGGTGGATGAGTCTAGCCGCTGAGTTTAGGATCGACTGGAGTGGGGATAGCGTTCGTTTGGGTAGGCCGGTGAGAAGGGAATTGCAATAGTCCAGGCGTGAGATGATGAGGGAGTGTACGAGTTGTTTGGTGGTGTCTGGGGTGAGGAATGTGCGTATCTTGGAGATGTTGCGGAGGTGGAGCCTGCAAGATCTAGATAGCAGTTGGATGTGGGGTAGGAAGGAGAGGTGGGAGTACAGGGTGACACCCAGGACTTTGGCGTGTGGGGTGGGCGAGATGGTGGCTTTGTTAGTATAAAGGTATGCATAATTATTAGGCAGCTTCTTTTCCTCAGGCAAAATGGGTCAAAAAAGAGATTTAAATAACTCTGAAAAGTCAAAAATTGTAAAAAAAAAAGTCATTCAGGGGGATGCAGCACTCTTGAAATTGATAAGATATTGGGGTGTGATCACAGGACAATCATATGTTTTTGTTGCAAATAGTCAACAGGCTCACAAGAAATGTGTTGAGAAAAAAAAACGCAAATTGCCAAAGATTTGAGGAGAATCAAATGTGAAGCTATCAGTAACCCATTATCCTCCAGTGCTGTCATATTCCAGAACTGCAACCTACCTGGAGTGCCCAGAAGGTGTTCAGTGCTCAGAGACATGGCTAAGGTAAAAAAGGCTGAAACCCGACCACCGCTGAACAAGACACATACCTTGAAACATTAAGACTAGGCCAAGAAATATCTGAAGACAGATTTTTCAAAGGTTTTATGGACTGATGAGATGAGAGTGACTCTTGATGGATCAGACGGATGGGTGGATCAGTAACGGGTACCGAGCTCCACATTGACTCAGACGCCAGGTCTAGGTGGGGTTCTGGTATGGGCTGGTACAGGGGTGGACTGACAACTCATGGGGCCCCTGGGCAATAGGGGATCATGGGGCCCCTGTGTCCTTGCCCAAACTCAAAAAAGCCGATGAAAAAGGTACCAGGGGCATCTCATGGGGCCCCCTACTGACCCCGGGCCCTTGGGCAGTGCCCGAGTTTCCAAATAGTCAGTCCGCCCCTGGGCTGGTATAATAATTATAAATTCTGTTGGCTGCTTGGAGATCTATTATTGCTGGGGTGTCCATTGTTGCTGGGGTAGATCTATTGTTACTGGGGGTCTATTTTTGCTGACATATATTGATGTTTAGGGGAACTGTTGTTGATGAAGGGGTTGTTCTATTGTTGGTTTGTGCTTGGTGGTGGGTAGGGAGTACCTCCACATATTCTCTGAGAAAAAAAGCCCTGATCTCAATAATTAAAAAAAAAAAAAAAAAACCATGTGACGTTAATGATATTCATAGTTGAGCTGATATATTCCCAAGTAGGATGGTTGTACAGATAGCTGACTCTCTTGAGTCTCCATGCCCACTTTTTTTTTCAGCTCCTAGAAGAGTTTTTTGGAACGCTTTTTCCAGAAACAAAATGCTAAATGCTCCTAAACACTACTAAATATTACTAAAATGCTCCTAACAGATTTTTTTTAGCTTTTTGTTCCCTCCATGTATTGAAAAAATGCTAATATAACGCTGATGCTCCTAAACGCTACTAAAAAAAAACACTATTATCAGCGTTTGTTATCCAGCATTTTTTAGCTTAAAAAAAAAAAAACTAGTATGCATAGAGCCTGAAACAACTTATTCCATTACCAGAATCTGCTGTGATGTTCACCTGATGCTGATTGCTACACTTACTATTGATCCTTCGCTGTGATCTGTCATGTGAAAAATTGACCCTGCACACAAGGAGATTTTCCAAACAAGTAGGATAATCTCTCTCTGTGACAGCTAGCACCTCTAGCCACTACAAAAAACTTCTATGGCTCTAAAAGCACACAAACATCCAAACCAGGGGCGGACTGACCATTTGGAAACTCGGGCACTGCCCGAGGGCCCGGGGTCAGTGGGGGGCCCCATGAGATGCCCCTGATACCTTTTTCATGGGCTTTTTTGAGTTTGGGCAAGGACACAGGGGCCCCATGATCCCCTATTGCCCGGGGGCCCCATGAGTTGTCAGTCCACCCCTGATCCAAACTGTCAAAGTACTCAAAATCTGGAGAGTTGACTATTAGCATTATTTGATCTCCACAAAATCATTTATTTATTCAATCTAAATGGGTACATGGTTGTCCTGAAGGGCTTTGTTCAGTTAGTATCACAGAGTAATATTGAAAGCGTGACTTTTAATACTATTTTATAGCCATTCTTCTCTTTTTCTTTCTCACAAATGCTAGATTTTTGTGATGCCCCCTAAAAGAAGAGTTTCAAAAGAGAAAAAAGATCCGAAGAAGCCAGAAAACTCAGCGGCTGCAGCAAGCAACAGCCAAGAAAGGGCTACCAAATCACAGGAGAAGCCAGGCCGCGTTGTGCCATCCAAAGCAAGACGTGTAAAAGAGGAAGCGAAAGAATCTGTCTCCGTGGCACAGGCTAGTGCTGCAGAGCCAGTTCTGCCTGAGAAAATTCAGGTAAGAACATAGTGGTAATTGTACAAATAAAGACTGCATAAAGCGAACTTTGTCCAAGACACACAAATTTAGGGACTGGGTACCTAACTCTGTTGCGTATCTCCAACACTATACTTGAGTCTGTTAGCTTGTCCTCAACCAGCATTATGGGCAAAAAATGCTAAATGTTCAACTGTAACATCTAGAGAATCTTAAATTTACGTATATATAAAGCCAAAAAATGTATAGTAGAGTAGAGTGAGAACCTCTGTCAGTTTTTTTATTGTCTGTTTCTCCACTGCGGAGATTGACCCTTTCTATTTGCCCTATTGACCATTTTCCTAGGAGAGAAAGTGATGGTAAACCCCACATTTTCTAGTCCAGTTGGAGCAGTTGGGTAAATCTTTTCCTGTGAAAACTGTATTCATTCTCACAAGGGGCAGCACTTGCGCCCCTTCTCACATCCTGTTTTAACCCTAAAAGTCTACATTTTACATGGTTGCAGGGCAGTTGCGGTGCAGCCCCAATAACTTTAATGGGCAAGGGGTCACAAAGCAAAGTATCATGGTCATGCTATACATACAGCCCTATGTAGCTGCATGTCTTTGTTTAGCTGTGTGGTCAGTAAAACCACGGATCAACCACCTGTTTTTTACTCCTCCTTGGCTGCACGTCTGTACAAGCCCTAGGAACAGAAACCCCTCACTTTAGAAACTTTTCCTCGTTACTTATGGGGTTTACATGACTATGTAATTGGTTCAGGGAGCCCACAAATATTATTTCGGTGCTTGAGCCAGTGTACATCTGTTAATTACAAAGTACTGGTGGGTGTCACCACAAAAATAACCTAATACAAAAACAAGAGAGAAAGCATAGACACCAGCTTAAAGCTACCGAACCACAATTACCGCAGATTACTTAAAAAAATATGTTTTTTCTCAATATCAAATATTAAAAAACCATGTCACAGCACCATGTCCACATCAATGTCTCTCCCCCAACATCCCTCCCCTCACCTAAAAACTGCCACCAATCCCTACCTACAACCTTCTACTTTAAAACCCCCACCAATCCCTACCTACAACTACCACATGAAACCCCCACTAATCCCTACCTACCTACAACTACAACTATATGGGATTTAGCCATTACCCACACTAACCAAAACTTTAAAAAAGTTTTAGATTTAGGCTGGGTCTAGCTTGTGAAGATTTCTTCAAGCAAATCTTTCATGATTCTAGAGCTATTTAACTAGCTACTACCTATGTTCAAGAATCCCAAGTTGTGTATCTAGAAAACTCTGGATTCTGACCCTACACTGAACTGTGGTCTCCATTTATCTTTGACTTAGAGCTCTGCCAGGACAACCCTTCCTTCTTTCAGCATACCAGTCACAGCACCATATTGGTACTCTCATTTGATATTGAAGTGATTGAGAAAAGCTTGGCAGAGAGTGAAGTGGAGAGGCATAACCATCAGTAACCCAAAGACATAGTGTTGCTTATGTGTTAGAGAAGACACTGGTAGCTTGTGATGAGGCTGAACACTGTTTTACTTGTGTGGCTTAAGTTGCAAACATACAGAACACATTTCAGCAATCTGTAACAGCAGACATCTTGGTTTTTGAAGAGAGAGAAGAGAGGGATGAGAGAGAACCAACAAGTTTTACACATATGCACAACTAGCAACCTTAGTGTACAGTGCCATCTACTGGTCAAGTGATATTAACACACAATACTATATAGTACATGCTGTTGTATTCCCAACACATAGAAGGTGGTGGTATATTCCACACACTAGCATCTATGAAAAATGTATTTGTCTTGAGTCAACTAAATAGAAAAAGCGCAAGCAAACATGCGCTATCAGACAGCCCACAAGCTCTGCCTACCCAGGTGCTCAAGTGGGGTTTAGACAGATTTTTCCTGCCGATGTTCACCTATGCTCAGGATATCCAAGAGATCTCATGGGATCAGAGAGTTCTTAGACATAGCACTGACACTGCTTTTTTTCTTATTCCTAAGGGCCGCCTGCTTTTCTTCACCTGTTCTTCATTCTAACCCTTAAAAAATCTGTAGAATTATATACCCAGGAATAAAACTATTGAGAACTGGCAATATACCTTTACCACCCAAATTGCATAGCCATTTACTATAACAGTCCAGGCAGGGGCGTAAGTACAGGGGTCACAATTGCGACCCAGCTCTATGTTCCAGGGGATCTGTGTGGCCCCCTGTACACCTAGATAAGAAGGAAGGTGGATGCAGCATATGGAGGAATGAATCCCTTTCAAATGGAGGGGATCAGTTCCTCTACATGTCGCCCTGCCTCCGTCCTATCCATCTCCTGCTGTGATTGGGCTCCTGTGTGATCCGTGTGGCCCCCTGTACACCTAGATAAGAGGGAAGGTGGATGCAGCCTATGGAGGAATGAATCCCTTTCAAATGGAGGGGATCAGTTCCTCTACATGTCGCCCTTCCTCCCGTCCTATCCACCTCCTGCTGTGATTGGGCTCCTGTGTGATCCGTGTGGCCCCCTGTACACCTAGATAAGAGGGAAGGTGGATGCAGCCTATGGAGGAATGAATCCCTTTCAAATGGAGGGGATCAGTTCCTCTACATGTCGCCCTTCCTCCCGTCCTATCCACCTCCTGCTGTGATTGGGCTCCTGTGTATTCCCGTGCCCCCCCCCCCCCCATCATCACCTGCAGTGCTGCTGGGTTCCCCCCTTCACCTCTTTCGCCAGCTGTTGCAGGGGATCGGTTAGGATGGAGAGTGGGGAAGGAGCTGGTAAATGTGTCATTTAACAGCCCTTCCTTGTCCTAATGAATAGAGTCAGTGATCCGTACCAATCACTGATCCTATTCATTCATACCTGGGGCATAGTAAACTGTGTTTACTGTGCTTCAATTTGTGAATAAACAGGAAGCTATTCCTGTCCATTCATTCTGTGCAACTGAGGCTGCAGAGATGGAGATTGAGGGCTATGTCCTTAATCTCTTTTCTCTGTCTCAAAGGTGAAACATCAGAGGTCTGTTTAGACCCCTGATATCTCACCAAAGCTCCCCAACAGAGCTCCTAAAGAATTATAACCAAAAATTAAATTGTAAAAACCCCAAATAAATAAATAAAATGGTAAAAAATGATAAAAAAATAAAATAAAATAACAAAAATAAAACTACTGACACCAGTAGTGGAACTACCAGGGTCACAAAGGTTGTACTTGCAACCAGGCCCTGACTTTCCGCCACCGTGGAGGGGGGGGGGGCCCTTTTATAGTTTCTTGCACATGGGTCCTGAAGGTTTGACTCCAGGTGTAATAGGACTTCTCCAGGTGAAACGTACGTAGAAGCGTGATCCCGTCCAGGGGCGGACTGACAACTCATGGGGCTCCCGGGCAATAAGGGATCATGGGGCCCCTGTGTCCTCGCCCACACTCAAACCACACTCAAAAAAGCCTATGAAAGGTACCAGGGACATCTCATGGGGCCCCCTATTGACCCCGGGCCCTCGGCCAGTGCCCGAGTTCCCCAATGGTCAGTCCGCACCTGATCCCGTCACATCTGGCCTGTCGAAAGCGAGGCTTGGAACGCACGCCGGCCATCATTATTGGTATACATACAAACACAGGCTGCATAGACTGGTGCTGGTTTTCTGCGCACCATTACATGTGAGTGCATTGATACTTACCTATCTTGTTATGCTATTTTCAATAAATACTACATTTAGAGCAATTTAATTTATTTGGTTTATTTGAGCTGCTTGGAGCATTACCTTTATCTTGAGGAGAGCCTGGGATTGTGAATCCATCCACCATTTGTGCACCCAGAGTCTTGTGATCACGTAAATCCAGGAGAGCCTGTTGCTGGTCGTCAATATTTATGATAACAAAGCGATATTTGACCACCTTATTTGACCGGGTCAGTTTTTTCTGGTGAGTGAGAAATTCACTTATTGAAAGAGCATATATCTATGGGACTATACCTTTATGGGACTGTCACCATAATATATTATGTTCACTATTCATCATATTTTGTTTAGAACTACCATTTGTTTGATGATATTGGTAGTTCACTCTATTTTTCATCTGTGCTATATAATCATTGCAGCGCCTACCTATTCACATATTCATGTGTAGAAGTGCATTTCACTTTTTAGGGGCAGCTGTTAACTTTTGCTGGCTTAGAGCAGGCAACATCCATTATTGTTTAAATTATTCACTTATTGAGGCGCCACAATATTGCTTTTCAAATACCGTAATAAAATTCCCAACAGTATAGCATTCCCTGAGAAATCAAGATGGCACTAATATTACAAGCTAATATGCCCAGTTGTAGTGTCAGTGCTGGTAATTAATGTAGATGAACACACAATCTCTAAAATCTTATATAAGCTTTAGCTCTCGTTAAAATAATACCTGGTGATCCTGCCATGAATTTCTTTGTTTAGTCACTTCCTGGTATAGGGTGACAACACTCACAGTTGTGCTTCTGTGTTGTCACCCTGTCACTTGATCCAGCAGAGACTACAAGCAGCTATTTCAATGCACACTACATGGAAATGGTTCACTTTTGTCAGCCTCAGTAACCAAAATTTATTTAGTAAAAGAATGGTACTCACAAACAGCGAATAAAAACAGGCATGTAAGTCCTCCAAGGGACTTTAAAGGCAAGGGGCCAGTGCGAATCCCATCATGGGGGTAGCCACTCAGTTTACTGACGCGTTTCGAAGGTCATGCCTTCTTCCTCAGAGCTGACTGGACTGAGAGTGTATGTTCCCTTTTATGCCTCAGTCCAGTCAGCTCTGAGGAAGAAGGCATGACCTTTGAAACGCGTCAGCTGTACTGAGTGGCTACCCCCATGATGGGATTCGCACTGGCCCCTTGCCTTTAAAGTCCCTTGGAGGACTTACATGCCTCTTTTTATTCACTGTTTGTGAGTACCATTCTTTTACTAAATAAATTTTGGTTACTGAGGTAATGCGCAAGGTTGGTGCGCTTCTTGTTGTTTTACTTCACAGTTC